ATAGAAGAAGCAGTTTTGGGGGGTTTACAGTCCAGAGGGTAAGTCTAAAGTCATGGTAGAAATCATGGCAGCAGGAGACAGAGAAAGAGCTAACTGGAATGGCCTGGGCTTTTAAAACCTCAAAGCTCACCCAGGGACTGGCTTTCTCCAAGACCACACATCCTAGTCCTTCCCAAACAGACAAACTGGGGACTATATATTCAGATATATCAGCGTCTTAGTTAGGGTTCTATTGCTATGAAGAGACACCATGACCATGACAACCCATATAAAGGAAAACAGTTAATTGGGACTGGCTTACAGTTCAGAGGTTCAGTTCATCATCTTCATGGTGAGAAGCGTGACAGTGTGCAGACAGACATGGTGCTGGAGAGGTAATTGAGAGTTCTACATCTGGAGCCACAGACATCAGAAGGACACTGAGCATAGCTTGAGCATATAAGACCTCAAAGCCCACAGTGACACATTTCCTCCAACAAGGTCACACCTCCTAATATTGCTGCTTTCTATGGGTCAAGCATTGCATTCAAACATGAGTTTATGGCAGCCATACCTATTCTAACCACCACATCAGCCTACGGGGCCATTCTCAAACCACCACAGTTGTGTATAACCAGGTTTGCCTCACACAGTGTACCAGAGGCTAATACTCTCCTTCTGATCATTTTGCCTCAGCAAGTACCCAAGTACCAGAATTGTAGGTGTGAACCACGATGCTTGGATTTATGGGGATTGGAGGTTGAACTCAGGGCTTCCTGCATGCTAGGGAAGCCCTCTACTGTTGACCTCTGTCCCCACCCTATCGGTTGTTAGTCTTTAAGACAGAGTCTCACCTAGCTCAACCTAGCCTTGTCTTCCTTCTGTAGCCAGTGCTGTCATCAAGCAGCTCACCCTCTTGCTGTAGCTCCCAAGTTGGGACTTCAGGCACGTGCTACACACCCAACTCCAGCAGCTTCCATTGCTAACTAGTCTCAACATATATATCACACCATTCTCAGTTATCCAAGTTGTTTTAGTTTTTTCCCAGCACTAGGGAAGGAACCCATGTACCATGTATAAAAAAGAGGTGCTTTATCATACCCTCTGGTTATTCCCTTTTAAATTCATACTACGCACACATGCACGCACACGCGCACATACACACATACACTTGGGCGTGCACCATTTATTTATTTTTGGATTTTTTTTTGAGACAGAATTTCTTTGTGCAATAGTCCTAGCTATCCTGGAACTCGCTCTGTAGACCAGGCTGGTCTTGAACTCACAGAGATCCACCTGCCTCTGCCTATCAAGTGCTAGGATTAAAGGTGTGCGCCACCACTGCCCGGCCACACACAAGCCTTTTAATAATATGTACATGTTTACTGAAAGTAGTAGAAGACTCATTTAATGAGTTGTTTCCTGTGGCCTTACAGAAAGTCTCAGCTCTCAAAAGCAGCTAATGAGAAAGCTGCCTTTCATTTTTCCAGGGTCTGTGTCTTCCTTTCTCAAGCCATTCCTACTGCTGCACAAACAAACACAAAGACAGTCACATTTTCTGCTCCAGCTTTAGATAATTTATATACATGGACCAATCCATGCACTTTCTTACCTTTTTGCTTAGGAAATGCTGAATATCTATAATTCTTTAACCTCAATTCCACAGGAAGTGTGGGCACTATTTTTCATGTTATAGTAGCCTTATCTCTGGGGAATCCATCCACAAATGGGTGGGTTTTAATTTTTTCTTGTTTTAAAATTTCCAGGAGAAGCTGGGTGGTGGTAGAATACCACCTTTAGTCTCAGCACTTGGGAGGCAGAGGCAGGCAGATCTCTGTGAGTTTGAGACCAGCCTGGTCTATAAGAGCTAGTTCCAGGACAGGCTCCAAAGCTACACAGAGAAACCTGTCTCAAAACACAAAACAACAACAAAAATTTCCTGGAGAAAAAAAAGAATAAGTGGCCTAGACTACTGTGAAGTTCTATTAAAAAAACTGAAATACAGGGGCCTGGAGAGATGGGTCAGTAGCTAAGAACACTGACTGCTCTTCAGGAGGACCAGGTTTAATTCCCAGCACCCACATGGCAGCTCACAACGGTCACTCCAGTTCAAGGGTATCCAACACCCATGGCAAAACACCAATGCACATAGATTTGTTTTTGTTATATTTTGTTTTTGTTTTTAGAGACAGGGTTTCTCTGCGATTTTGGAGGCTGTCCTGGAACTAGCTCTTGTAGACCAGGCTGGTCTCGAAATCACAGGATCCACCTGCCTCTACTTCCTGAGTGCTGGGATTAAAGGTGTTCGCCACCACTGCCTGGCTGAATTTAAAAAAACAAAACAAAACAAACAAACAAACAAACAAACAAAAAACCCTGAAATACAGCTGAGTGGTGGTAGCACATGATTTTAATCCCAGCACTTGAGAGACAGAGGCAGGTGGATCTCTGTGAGTTCGAGACCAGCCTGGTCTACAGAGCAAGTTCCAGGATAGCTAGGACTATTACACAAAGAAATTCTGTCTCAAAAAAAAAAAACCCCAAAATAAATAAATGGTGCACACCATTTATTTCTGTGAGTTTGAGGCCAGCCTGGTCTACACAGTAAGTTCCAGAATAGTCTGGGCTACATAGAGAAACCCTGTCTAGAAAAACCAAACCAAATAAAAAACCTGAAATACAACAACAAAAAAAGTCCTAACCACCACACCCCTTCCCAACCACAATAACTAGTTGGTAATAATTTGGGAACTATTTAAAATCTGTCTGAGTCTTTAAAAATTCTTTAATAGCCTACAGTCAGGTACTCTTCTTCCTAGGCAGGACATGCCCCCAAACACACACACACACACACACACACACACACACTTTTGTCACACACACACACACTTTTGTTTGTTGTGACAGGGCCTCACATTATAGTCTAGGTTAGCTTGGAACTCAGCAACATTTGCTTGGACTTTCCTTCAAAGAGCTGGCATTACAGACTTGAGCACATATAAACATGAAGGCAAAATACTCATATACCTACGCAGAACCAGTTCCAGGTAGGGAAACATGAAGTTTTTCTTTACTAAATTCCCAAATAATTTGTGTCATTTCAATTCCTTGCATCTTTACTTAAGAACAGCCATGGACATTTTCACTTCAATAAGCCTTGACTCAGTGAATGGACTTCGTTACTGCAAGGCTTCACAGCTTTCCTGACTCAAACAATTGTAGCTTATCTCCAGTTCCCACATACACACAGCTGTTCCACCCCAACCCCAGCTGGCTCAGCATCAGCCACCACCTCCACAGCTATACATTCCTTTTTTTTTTTTCTTTAATTTTGTGCATGTGTGTGAGCATTCACGTGTCAGCATCCATTACCATGTCATACATGTGGCAGTCAGAGGTCAATCTAAGATGTCTGTCTTTGTCTTCCACTTGGTCTCTTGTCTTTGTCTCTTTCCTGAAGCACATTCCAAGAGAGCTGACTCTCCCTCTTCCCACCCCCACCCCCAGCTTCCATAGGAATGCTGGGATTCTAAATGTATGCACTTGGGGCTTGAGAGACAGCTCAGTGGCTAAGAGCACCAGTGGCTCTTCCAGAGGACCTGGGTTCCATCCTCAGAACTCACAAGAGGGCTCTACTGTCTGTACCTCCAGTCTCAAGGGCATCTGATGCCCTCTTCTGGCCTCACAGGCGGCACTGTCTATACATGGTGCGCAGACACTTGTAGGCAAAACATGCACATAAGATAAAAATAAAGATGAAAAAAATGTATGTACTGTTGCCTCTGGCTTTATGTGAAGGAGCTCTGGGAGGGTTGGACTCCGGGTCTCACTCCTGCACAGCTGCTTTGAGGCACAGGTTTGCTATCTAGAGATGCTTACAGCCCAAGCTTACCTTGAACTCAGTCTCCTCAATGCTGAGATTACAGGTGTGAGTCACCACACTTAGCTTCTGTTTTTTTTTTGTTTGTTTGTTTGTTTGTTTTTTTTTGAGACAGGGTTTCTCTTTGGATCCTGTCCTGGAGCTCGCTCTGTAGACCTGGATGGCTTTGAACTCACAGAGATATCCACCTGCCTCTGCCTCCCGAGTGCTGGGATTAAAGGCATTCGCCACCAATACCTGGCTTGTTTTGTTTTTTGAGACAGGGTTTTTCTGTAGCCCTGGCTGTCCTAAAACTTGCCCTGTAGCCCAGGCTGATCCCTCAGACTCACAGAGATCCGCCTGCTTCTGCCTCCTGAGTGCTGGGATTAAAGGCGTGTGCCACCATCACCCAGTTTAGCCTGCTAGCACCTGGGATCACCAGCCCAGGGGTAGCACCATCTACAAGAAGCTGGGCCCTCCCACATCAATAACTAATCAAGTAAAATGTACCACAGGCTCGCTCACAGGTCATCCAGTGGGGGGACATTTTTTCAACTGATATTCCCTCTTCCAAAATGACTTTAGCCTGTGTCAGGATGACATAAAAGCTAACCAGCATACTTGCCCTGTACCAGGGACTAGAAATATAGTAAACTGAATTCTTGGGGGAGATCATCATGAAATGTATAATACAGCAGCTAATTATGATTCTATTAAGTACTACGAAAAACAAGGGAAAGGCTGGGGAGATGGCTCAGTTAGAAGGTGCTTTTCAGACAAGCATGAGAACTCTGAGTTCAGATTCACATAAAATCCAGGTCATTCCAGTTCTGGGGAGCCAGAGACAGGCAGATCCCAAGAGCCCAGAGCTCACTGGCAAGCTGGCCTAGACAATCAGAGACTCTGTCTCAAAAAATAAAGTGGAGAGCAGCTGAGGAAGACACTTGAGGTCTGCCTCTAGTCACCACATGCATGCATATGTGAATATGCATGCAAACACACATGAATACACGCATACCCGCACACAAAAAGAGTTAACAGAGCTGGCTACAAGCACCCAAAGCTGCAAGCTTGGTTTTCTATAACACAGAGCTGTGGTGAGTGAGAATGGAACAGACAACCCTTTGTCTCACTGAGGAAAAATAAACACAGGCAACGGAAATCCTTCAGAAACTGAGAGGCAAGATGTCCTCTTCAGCCTTCTTTGTGTGAACTTGCTGGGAAAGTACCCACAGGGCTTCAGTCAGCTTCTGGAGCTTTCTACAGTGCTCAGAGGAGGGAGACCAGGTTGCTTATGAGAGAGGAAAATCTGAAGACATAACTCTGGTCGACAAGGCCCACTGTGAAAGAGAAACAAAAATTTCAATCTCTGCCTAAGAGTCACAAGAAGGTCTTGTTCTGAGTATGGTCCCAAGTCAAAGAGAACATTTGGTCTACCTATTTCTCTTGAACAGAGAGATGTGGAGTAATATGGATGCAGATGGTTAAGTGGCTTTAGCAGCAGAAGGTAAGCTGCCAAAGGGGATGCTGCTGCACACCTAGATAGAGTCAGTCCAACCAGAGGGAGTTGCTATGGAAACACAGAGGAACAAAGACGGAAGATAAAGTAACTTAGCTCTAAAGTAGTTGCTCTCTTGTATACAAAACATTTAAACTCTATATGTGCATTTAACTCTGTGTGTCTTGAGAGAGGGGAAAGGAAGAGATGAGAAAGAGAGAAAGAGAGGAGAAAGGGAAAGAAAGAGGAGAGAGGAGAGGAGGTGGTGGAAGGAGAGAGAGAGTGGGAAAGAGTGAGAGAGGTGAAAACGAGGAGAGGGGGAGGGAAGGAGAGAGGTGAGTGGAGGGACAGGAGGAGAGAGAGATCTTGCTATGTGGCCCAAGGAGGCTTCAAATCATGATCCTCCTGTGTGGGATCACAAGTGCTGGGATTACAGGCATATGCTAACATGCCTGACAGACTATTTTGGAAGTGTTCTCTGAGCCATGGATGGTTTTCTGAGCCCATAATTCCAGCACCTGGGAGAGGGATGCAAACAGAACTGGGGTTCAAGGCCAGCTTGGGTACACAACAGAAAACAGAAAAAACAGTGTTCTCTGGCTCCTTGCAGGCAGAGAAAGCAGCAGGAGGCCACTGTACCCATGCAGAGTAGGGCAGGCAAGACAGGGGAGCTAGCTGCAGAGATGGAAGTTAGAGCAACAGGCTTTGTGGTGTGTGCATGTGTGTTAGAATAAGAGTGTTGCTGTAATTTTCTTGTCTGCCAGGTTCCACAGCTGCTTCCGTCCCAAATAAACACACAGAGATGCTATATATTAATTATTAAACTGTTGGCTGAAGGCTAGGGCTTCTTATTGGCTAGCTCTGTCTTAATTATTAACCCATTTCTATAAATCTATGTATTTCCATGTGGTCTTGGCTCACGGGAGAATGTCCGGACCTGTTACTCCTTTTTCAGCTACTTGGCATCTCTCTGCTGAGCCTCTCTGCCTACCTTTCCCAGAATTCTCCTTGTCTCCTAGTCCTGCTTATCTTCCTGCCTCTATTGGCTATTGGCCAAGCAGTGTTTTATTCATCAACCAATAAGAGAAACATACACAGAAGGACATCCCCCATCATAAGGGGAAATGAAAGAGGTAAACGGCTATGTGAGGAATGAATCCCTGCCATGTTTCTTTCTCTTTCTGTTGTGTGCTGCTGGGCATGTGTATGTCTGTACCGCACATGTGTACTGTTTTTGCCAATCCTCTTCCCCTCTGACCCTGTAACCTGCTAACTCGGCCAAGGCTCCTCCTGCCAGTGTCCAGGCTCCACAAGGGTCACTTACCACCATGCCCGGCTTTAGACATGGGTTTCACGGATCAGACTCAAGTCTTCGGGTGTACAGCCCTTCACCTAGCAAACCCCCACCCCACGCCCGCCCTCCCTTTAGCTTGTTCTTCCTGGCAGTGCCTTTGCAATTTTCTTACAAAACCACCCTTGTTCCTCCCGCCCTTTCCTCCTGGGAGTTCTGCTATTATCGAACCAAATATTCTTGGGAGCCACAGTAGCTCAGAAGCTACCCGAGGATGGAGAGGAAACCATCTTTTGGTCAATTTTCTATCCTGCCTACTTCATCTACCCAGCAAGTGTAGAGCACAGCTTTGGAGCCGCGCTGCCATCACCAGCGCCTCCTAACTGTTCACAGATGTGGGAATTTCTGCAAACATCCCACCCTTAGACCCTCACTGCGCAGGAAACACACTCGAGTGACGTGTCCAAGGTGCCACACTAAAACGCCGAAACTGACTTTAGATACTGGTTTCAGCATGCTCCCTGTCGGTTAAAATGCAGCCAAATGCCTAGAAATACTTCCAAGTTTCAGTAGTCATTTGCTCCCAAACATCCACTGTGCACCTGTGACAAGGGCGCCTGAGGACTGGTAGGCGAGGGCCAGGGAGGGGAGGGTAGAGGAGGGCAGGGAGAGAAGGAGGGAGGGAGGAAGGGAGTGGGCACAGATGACAAGTCCTTGGCTGTAGTCTACACTACAGGCCCCCAGACTGACAGGAGAGCGGACAGTCTTGTCTCCACCACCAGAGGGCGCCCGCCGCGCCACCCCACTGCTCCCCCGCACCCACCCGCTGACCCCGCCGGGGTCCGACGCCCTGGGCGCCGCAAAGGTCGAGGGAATCGCCCGCAAGCCCCGAGGCCCTAGGGACCGGACGAGGGCATAGGGCAGCTCAAGGAGACGGCGTCCTCAAGCTGAGGAACGCTACCTCCGGCTGGGCTCCCGCTCCCTCAGGACGGCCCGTTTCCGGTCCTGCCAGCGAGAGCAGCGCCGCGTCCAATCCGGGTCCTTCTCCGGCGCGCGGCCGCGAAGCCCCGCCCCTTCCCAGGCTCGCACGGGGCGGGAGGGGGGCCGGGGGCGCCTGTCATCACTCGGGAGCGGCGCGTGCGTGCTGCGGGGCGCACTCTGACCCGGAGACGACCCCTGCTACCCGCACTCCCTCCCTCGCCTCGAAGATGGCGCTGTCCAGGGTGTGCTGGGCTCGCGCTGCTCTTTGGGGCTCGGCCGTCGCCCCTGGACCCTTTGTCACCCGCAGGCTGCAGCTGGGTCGCTCTGGCCCTGCGTGGCGGGCCCCTCGGTGAGGGCCTCGGAGAGAGAAGAGCGTACTTGACGTAGAAGGCCCTGGAGCGGCTCAACCTCGGCTTCTCCGGGTCCCGCGCCTCGGTTTCCCCGCGCGGGATCCCTCCTGAATGCGGGTCCCTGGCCCTCTCTGCTCCGCATTGTCTGCTCTTCCCCGCGTTTCCCGAGCTCACCTTTCAGCTTCCCTCCCTTCCCATCTCCATGGCCGTAGTTTGCACTCTGGCCCCACAGGCTTGGCACACACTCTATGCTCATGCCGTTTTGTCACGCTTCTGCCTGGGCTGCCCCTCTCAGACCAAAGAGCTTTGGCAATCGTTGTCAGAAACTTGTATTTTACAGTAGGGGTCCTAGGTACGAGGTGGCTTCTGCTAGATCACAGATAGTTCTCTCTGATCTTCCTTGTAGGTCTTCAAGGCTACATCTTTCTCCAAAGGCAGACGTGAAGAACTTGATTTCTTATGTGGTGACCAAGACAAGAGCGATTAATGGGACATACCATCGTTTCTTGGGTCGTCATTTCCCCCGCTTCTATGCCTTATACACAGTCTTCATGAAAGGTAAACACTAAAATAGAAATCCCCCAGTCGGCTAGAAAGTCAGTCAGTGAGATCACGTGCGCAGGGGTTCCGCTGCGTGGATGTGAGTTGCCCGGTGCCTTCTCTTTCATCAGTGTTTGAGCATTAATTCCTACAAATTGTCACCTCCTAAATATCTAGAAGGATGTTATAATAAACAGCTTCTGGCGTCGCAGGAGTGGACGCCATCTCCTTGCTCGTCACCAGAGCAGGGAGCTGTGGCTGTGCAGACCCGCCCCAGTGATTTCTCTGTTGTCGTAAGAAAATGTGGCCCAAATGCTTATCAGTTGCCAGCTTAGGTAACTTGTAGGGGAAATACACCATATATACTTGATTTCTGAATGTTTTGATTTAAAATGGAGGTCCACCAGTCACGATGAAATGACACCTGTAATGTCACTTGACCACTCTGGACCCAGAATGCCTAGTTCAGATCCCGGTTTGTGACTTATTGACTGCAGTTGCACTAATGACTTAAACTGTCTATAAAGCAATAGAACTGACTTACTGATTACATAATTGTGGATATTATTGTTGGCTTAGAAAGGGTATCATGTAGCTTAGGCTGGCCTTGAACCTCCTGTAGTTGAGGATGACCTTGAACTTCTGATCTCCCTGCCTCCACTTTCTGAGTGCTGTAATTTTAAGCCTGAGTAAATCAACATATATAAAGTGCTTAGAACAGGGCCTATATTAATATGGTATCTATACAGTAAGTGCCCAATATGTATTGACTATTACTATTATTATATCCTATACTTTTATCCGCTAATCAAAAGGAAATAGAATGTTGTCAACTCTGAATATTACTATAATTATTATTAGCTTCATGGAGCTGAAAAATTATCCACCTTTATCTAAAAAGTGGGGGTAAGAATGGCTGGCTTGCCAGACATAGTGGTTCTATGCCTGCAATCCCACAACCCAGCATTCCAAGGCAGGAGGATCAGGAGTTCAAGGCCAGCTTCATCTACATAGCAAGGTCCTGTAAAAAACAAAACAAGAAACTCAAAACAAAATAGCTAATGACCACCAATAATACACACACAGATATAATATATGCACATATATATACATATATACATATATATATATATTATACACACACTGTATTATTTGAAGCTGATCTTGGTAACATTTTTGTTCATATAAATATGGAAGCATTAAAATATTTTATTCATTTTGTTTCTATGACTGTTTTGCCTGATGTATACATGTGTACCATGTTCATGCCTTGTGCATGTATACATGTGTACCATGTTCATGCTCAATGCTCTCTGAGGTCAGAGGGCATTAGCTCCCCTGGAATATGAATTGTGGATGGTTGTGAACCACCATGTGGGTGCCAGAAACTGAACCTGGGTCCTCTGCAAGAGCAGTAGGTGCTCTTAACCTCCGAGCCATCTGCCCAGCCCTGGAAGCATTTTTAAAAACTAGATAAATGTAAGGATGATTATAGAATGAAGATTCAAAATGGGACCATAGCAATATGTCAAATTATGCAACTTGTAAACATGTCCCAGAAAGCAGCAGGCTGGGAAACATAGGGTTTATTGACCATGATGCTCTGGTGTTAAGGATCTAGCCTTTAAAACAAGCGAAGAGTAATGAGCTCACAGGAGACCACTCCATGGCAGACCATAATTCAGCTGGGTAATATGCTTCGGGAAAGCATGGGAAGGTCTGAGGTGTCAAGCTTCCTAGCTGAAAGCTTCTGTGTAGGCAGTGCTGGGGAGGGGCCAGTGTGTGTGCATGTGAGTGAACACAGTAGGAAGCTACGGTGAGATTCAAACTGGGGTAACATCGCGTTCTGTCCTCCGCTTTAATGGGGCAGGAATACAGATGTTATGGGCTGATGGCAAAAAGGCTAGAAGAATAAAGGCAAATATGTGGAAGCACAATGTAAAGTTTCATCAACTCTCCTACCGGGAGATGGAGCATTTGAGACAGGTATGGGCCAGGGGCACATATCCAGATGTTCACGGAGGTAACTAACCAAGCTCCTACATGTGTTTCTTTTGTCTCTCGTTCTTCACTGGTCACACCTTTCCCTTTGCATCCAGTTACTTGTCAGAATGGGGCTCACTGAGAATGAACTTCACAGCAGGGCCATACAGAATTCTGATACACTTTCTGATTCAATTTGTAAGTAATAAAATCCAGTTTGGTTTTGGACATACAGTGATCTGCACAGAGCTGCAGGGCAGCAGGAAGGTGTTTGGCAGTGACCTGAAAGGCAGTTTGAAGCCGAGAGTTCAGGAGACATTTTACAGGTCAGACAGAGTTCACCAAGGGGTTTGATAAAAGGTTAGGCCCCCCACTCGATATTTGGGATACAGACATTAACATCAGAGGTCCACCCTCAGGAACTTAGCATTATAACACAGATACAAGCACGGTCCTTTTCCTAGGCTGTAGCACAAGTTCACTGTACAGGGAGTGGGATGGAGGGTTTGTCCATGTTATCAAGAACTTACTTGGGTTAAAAACGGTGTCTGTGTTTATTTCTGTTTAGTTCCGTCGAGATATCACCAAGTGTCTTTTCGTAGGTATCATTTCCATTCCACCCTTTGCCAACTACTTGGTCTTCCTGCTAATGTGAGTATATACCACTACCAGATCTTGAAGCTATAGATTGTTTTAAAAATTAAAAATCATTTTGCCTGATGCAGTGGCACATGATTTTAGCACTTGGGAGATAGAGGCCAGAGGATCAGAAGTTCAAGGCCATCCTTGGCAACATGAAGCCTTTTTTCAAACAAACCAAACAAAAAAAATCCAAGAAAATTATTTATTTTTAAATTACTTTTTTATCTTTTATGTATATGAGGTTATGTGAGCCTATGTGCCCTGCATGCATGCAAGAGCTTGTGGAGCAGAAGGGAACATCAGATCCCCCGGACTGTAGTTACAGATGATTGTGAGCTTTCATATAGGTGCTGGGAATTGAACCTGGATCCTCTGAAAGAGCAGATAGTGCTCTTAACCCCCAAGAAAATTACTTTAAAAACTTTTCATCTCAGAAGTTCAGAGGTCATCAGACTTCTACTTCAATCTTTTCAGCATCCTGAAAGGTTTTTTTTTTCCTATTTATTTTATTTTATGAGTGTTTTGCCTGCAAGTGTGTATATGCACCATGTAAGGACCTATAGATGGTTGTAAACCATCATGTGGGTGCTGTCTCTAAAAACCAAAAAAAAAAAAAATTGGATAGAGCTTGGGAGTGATGGACTTTTCTTACTTGGGTGAAGTTAACAGACTGCAGTGATGCTTAGTTGAACCAAGGAGGGCTGAGTCACTCTGGTGTTTTGATGTGAACATTGGGAGATGGACTGCTTCATTCCGCCTGGGCAGCCTGGATAGTGGAGCTCCTTACAACACAACCAGAGCTTCAGGGATAACTGGGCCAGTGAGAACATGACTTTAAAAACAAAACCCAAGGCCTCACCATATAATCCTGGCCATCTTGGAACTCACAAATGTCATCTATCTGCCTCTACCTCCCAAACAGGACTAAAAAAGGTGTGTGCAATTACACCTGGCCTATACTTTTGATATCTTTGTCTTAGAGGTCATAGACTCATTTCTGCTCTGTTGTATGAGTTAATCACTCAGAGTGGAAAAAGAAGAGGGAAATAACCCTTATTTGCCCGTAAAAGAAGTGCCAGAGAATTTGTAGCCATGTTTAAAAAGCTACCTTCCAGTTGGGTAACCACAACTAAAGAGCATGTCCAGGGCCTTTGTAATACTGTGTCTGGCCAGGCGTTGGTGGCGCACACCTTTAATCCCAGCACTCGGGAGGCAGAGGCAGGCGGATCTCTGTGAGTTCGAGACCAGCCTGGTCTACAAGAGCTAGTTCCAGGACAGGCTCCAAAGCCACAGAGAAACCCTGTCTCGAAAAACCAAAAAAAAAAAAAAAAAAAAAAAAAAAAACTGTGTCTGTATGACTGTTCATCAGCTCCGTATGAAACTGTCTGAAGAATGTTCTGAACTGGCTTTAGTTCAAAAAGAGGCATTTGATCTGACTGCCACACACTAGCTTTCTTTCCAATCCCATTGCAGCAATACCGCCTGCCATCGTGCAGAGACGTGGACTATGAGAGACCGTGGGTAGAGAAGCATGTCTCTGCCAGATACCCGATTAGTCCCCTTTCAGAAAGTGACTTTGTGATGCTTTTTCCTTGTAGGTACCTGTTTCCTAGGCAACTGCTTGTCAAGCATTTCTGGACCCCCAAACAACAAATTGATTTCTTAGACATTTATCACAGTCTCCGGAAGCAGTCCCACTCAGAAATCATTACTCATTTAGAAAGGGCCAGCGCTCTTGTTTCTGATGAGAGGCTGCGGTGGCACCTGACAGACCTGTGCACCAAGGTACTACCTCAGCCAAGCGGTTTTCCAGCTGGACCAGGAAGGTCCCTGTGAAACAAGAGCGGTCAATCTCTAAAATCTACCCACTTTTTACTTCTTTCCAGGTGCAGAATGGCGTCCACCCCACAGCACATGACATCCTGGCTCTCAGAGAGTGCTTCTCCACTCGGCCTCTGGGCTTTAGTCAACTCCAGGCTACGCACATGGTGAGCACTTGGAGGCCTTTTGTGTCCACAGCCCCGTTTGTTAGGGTGTACAGTGAGCCGGCTTCATACTCTTCCTGCATGCTGTGTCACAGAGAGCCTTGAGCCGGGCCATGCTCCTCAACCCTCACCTGCCCCCCGCCGTGTTGAGATGGCGCTTGAAGAGCCACACCACTGTGATTCAACAGCTGGACAGGGCTCTGGCACAGCTGGGGATTGGCCAGCTGACTGCTCAGGAAGTGAAATCGGTAAGAGGCTTGTCAAGTAGTGAGTGTCCCAGAGTGGGCTGGAAGCTTACAGGGCTTGCATCAAAACTCAAGTTGTTTCTGTGTTGTTTTAGTTATTTTGACATAGGATCTTACTATATAGCCCTAGCTGGTCTCAACCTCTTTCTGTAGATGAGGCTGGCCTTGAACTAAGTGCTAGAATCACAAGCTCATGGTGACATGCTGACACCCTGCCCTTCCAGATCTCATGTAGCACAGGCTGGCCTCAAATTTAAGCAACCCTCCTGCCTCAGTCTCCCCAGTTTTGGGATTACAGCCAGAGCCACTATACCTGACTCCAAGCTCATTTTATTTCTATGGATTTTTTTTCTTAATGTATATAACTAGTGAGAATGAGGAATGAGTTTGAAAAAAAAAAAAAGCAAGGCCCCCTGGGCAGGGTATAATACACACACCTGTGACCTTAGCACTTGGGAGGAGTTTCAGGACAACCTGTTTAAAACACTTTCAAGGACAATATATTTTAAGCCTACTATTTTAGATTATACAGATATATCCATTATTGAAACAAATGCCTGAGCTTATCAATTTAAAAAGAGGAAAGCTAGTTTTTTGTTTTGTTTGTTTTGGTGGTGGTGTTTTTGGCTCATAGTTTTAGAGGTTTTGTCCTGGTCAGTTGGCCCCATTGGTTTTGTGAATATGAGATGAAGCAGTGCATCTTGGGAGAATGAGATGAAGCAAAGCTGTTCATGTCCTGGCATCTGGGACAGAGACAGGAAGAGGAAGGTTAGTATCACGCAGTCTGCTTCAAAGACTTGTGCTCATTGACTGAAGACCGCTCAATCAGCTTTATCTTCTAGTTTCTCCACGTGCCTCCCAGGAGCACAGAGTGGAGGACTAAGCCTTCCCCCCTTTCCACAGCCACCCAGCAACATAGTGAAGGCCTTTTATGGGGATAAGATCCAATCACTTGTGGATTTCTGTTTGTGGCATGCTATGCTTACTCAGGATGTTTCTCTTCTGAGTGGTATAGGCTTGCTATCTTCGTGGCTTGAATTCTACCCATATTGCTGATGATAGGTGTCGGACTTGGCTGGGAGAATGGTTGCAGATTTCCTGCAGCCTAAAAGGTAAGGCAAACCTCTGTGGCCATGCTACTGAAGTCTGAGCTTTAGAAAACAAATAAACTAAACAACAATAACAAAAACCAAACTAACCAAAAACCAGGGTCTCACTGTGTAGCTCCGGCTGGTTTGGAACTCACTCTATACCAGATTGGCTTTGGACTTGCAGCTATCCTGCCTCTACCTCCTGAATTCTGGGATTACAGGCAATGCACCACCATACCCAGCTCATTTTTTACCTTGTTCTGGGATTACCTGCTGAGTTATCATGAAGCTTTAACATATATTTATTTTGTAATTGAGGGCACAAACTTGAGTGCCTACTATAGCATAGACTGTGTAAGACAAAAGGACTGCTTGCAGAGCTTCATAGCCTGGGCCTATGGCAGTTTGTTTAGGGAGCTATCTCATGCACAACGGGGTAGTTAATGAGTGTAACTGCCTATACCCATTCCATGCCAGTCACAGCCTTTTGTGTCTAGTGTGACAAATAAGAGGTATCTCCAGACATTGCCAGCTGCTCCTGAGCTTGGGGTGGTAAGGGGAGAAGGATGGAATGGTCCTGGGTGAGAAACAGTCTTGAAGCTAAGAAATGTCCTTACAGCACCAACTTTTGCCATGAGGTGACTGCCATCATATGAGAATCAAGACATAGTGGATGTGAACAAATAGCGGGGTCAGAGAAAAGCATGCATTCAGGGGTTGAGTGAAGCAGGGTTTCTTAGAGATTAGCCTCACAGTGCTGTATTCCCATCCCTGGCTTTCTACCTCCTGCCAAGCTCTGTACTCCAAGACAGTTAGGTAAACCGTGTCCTAGCCAAGCACTAACCCTGATGGTGTTTTCAGAAACTGAGCTGTCCCTCTTGCTGCACAACGTGGTCCTGCTTTCCACCAACTACCTTGAGACAAGGCGCTGAGTGAACCATGGAGAGGATGACATTGTCCTGCAGTTGCATAGTATAGTAGCATGGGACCAAAGAGCACTTGTCAGCAGTCTGCACTATTAGTGTGGGAGACAGAGGAGCACACTATCCATCTGGGAGCTACAGACATTCCCTCACAGCTTGAACTAAACAAACACCTGTGTGGTGCCATCCCATTATGCTCACCTGGAATTGACAAGCACCTCTGGTACTAGACTTTTGTTGTGATGTAATGTTTAGGTCCTATTGAGTCAGTTTTTGCCCAGGTGGGAATCATTTAGCCTAAAATTCATGACTGCCAAGGTTTGTTTTTACATTTCTATTTTTTTTCCCCTGAGATGAGTCTATGTTGCCCAGGCTGACTTCAAGTTTCTGTGCTCAAGGGATCCTCCCAGCTCAGGCTTCTGGGTGCTGGGACTACAGGTCTGTGTTACACGGCTTCACTGCCGTGTTCTTTACAGCCATGAGGGCTTTTTGTTTTGTTTTGTTTTTTCCTGTGGTTTTCTTGAAACACTGTCTGTCTCACATAGTTGAGGACGACTGTAAACTCCTGGCCTTCCTACTTGCACCTCCCAGGCTGGAATACAGGATGAACTGCCACACAAAGCCCTGTAAGGTGTGAGGAACTGGCCAAGGGCTCTCCACTCACTAGAGAATTTCTGGGTGCCAAGAACACTGCAGATTAGACTGGAGTACTAACACCTGGGCTTGTACCTGGACACCCACCTCTGCCAGTCTTTTCTTATCCCTATGCTCCCCCCACACACCTCCTTTGGTTTTTTGTTTTTGTTTTTGTTTTTTTTTTTTTGGCCTTTTCGAGACAAAGTCTCACTATATAGCCCAGGCTGGCCCTCAATTCCTGGAAATCCTGAAAATTCTGCTACAGCCTCCTGGGTACTAGGATTATAGGCATGAGCCTATATATGCCTGGCCCATCCTTTTTGATGTGACCAAAAGTAGGGACACTTTTCCTCCTCACTAGCATGGACTGTTCATCTTTTAATATTCTCTGAAAAAAATTTTTTTAATTTATGGGAACATCCTAAAGGAGGTGAAAAGGAGAAGGACTGACTGCTTGGCCCCTCCCCTGCAAATATTTAGTGTCTTAATTTTCAGGCTGTCACACAGTCCCTAAGGACCTTATGTGTTTGCTACCTCCACTGTGTTGCACTAAGCCATCTGTAGCCAGCAGTGGCTGCCTTCTTTAGGCCATGGGTCAATCACATTCGGTATTCATTACTGCTGAGCTGGGAAACGAGATCTGCACAAGATAGTAAGCTGGGTTTGGCTGTTGTGTGTACATCTATGATAACTTACTGTAAATGCATGAAGCAACTGTTTTTAAACCCAAGTAAAGACTGCCTGAAACCAGTTTTTGGGAATTACTTATACACACTCTACTCGTTTTCCTAAGGCTTCTTTTTATAAGACTGATGTAACCTAACTAATGGACATTTAACTAGTTGGAACATAATTTTTTGATGGGATGAAAGGAAATTTGGAAGGAACTGTTTAATGCTATCTATCAGACATACTAGAATGGTAATCAGAAATAGAGAAAATTGTAACTGCTGACAGCAGGGGTCCAACAGGCACATAAGGAAATCCCAGGCAGGACAGGTTTTGTGCTCTAAAGACAATAAATCTACATTTCTGTCACTGAGTATTCCTATCATTGACATTAGTTTCTAACTGCCTAGTTAATTTTATATACACAGCAAGAGAAGCACCCTTTCTCTTCACAAATAACTGCGACTTGCGAAGATAAAGAATATCACACCATTCTTTTGAATATTTCTTTAATATTACATTTAAATATTCTCTTTAAATACAGCATTATTACAATGTAAAGAACCTAAGGGGGACTGTTTTCAGAGAGCCAGACAAGCTTTGGATTCACATTGAGAATATGACCTGTGCACAGTATGCAAGGAGGCAGCGTAACGAGCTGCAGTAATGAGCCACAGTTCACCTAGGCCTAGACTGAGGGGGACTGGCTCTGCTTCCGTGATCAGAGGCCTAGCCTTCCTAGCAACCAGGAACTATAAATTCTGTCCAACTCAGGTAGCACCAGGAATGAGACGGATTAAGTTGTAGAAAAGGTCTTTTGCTTGACATTCGTCAATGCTAAATATTTAGCACTCATAAGTTTGGGGTCAGTTTGAATCAGAACATGACTTAATGAGGAGATGCATTTAGAATAAGAAACTAGAGTCATATAGAAATATCAAATACCTTGGGGACTGGCTAGTCTTTGTGACAATGACTAGTATGTTTCTTAATGAAAATCCAAGTCCAAGGGCTAAGACAGTTGGAGTCTTCAAGAGGAAAGGTGCTGAGTCCCTCCTTTCCAACAAACTTCGAAAGATTCTTCTCTCCACCAGCCAGTCTCAGCTTAGCTTCAGTCTTGGGGTTGAGAGTTCTGGCTGAGGGTGAGTTTTGGCCTCTGGTATTCAGGGTAACTCTAGTGAGACTAGACAGAGAACTAGGTACTTCCTTAAGACCTCCAACAATAAAGCCAAGCAAACCCAGAAATGAACAGCAGTGGCAGAATGGGTTAAAAACCAGGATCTGTGTCAAATGCAGGGACCTCCAGACTTAGGATCAGAGATTTAAAGGTGTTTCTGCTACTACACACATTCAAGTTCACTCTACAAAACCAGGACCACCTTATCCCACCAAAAATAGATAAAGCCAAGCAAAGTGGTACACACCTGCAATCTCAGCATTCAGGATGCACAATCAGGACTGCCACAGGTTGGACATAGGAACATAGGAAGTTCCAGGCTAGCCAGGGCTATTTGGCAAGACCCTGTCTCAAAAAATCAAAACAAGTTTTGTTTTTCTTTTCTGGTTAGTAAAGAATGAGGAAAAGTGTTTTGCTCCTACCACCTTCATTACCAGAAGGCAGAGGTACACTGCCAATAAAAAAAAAAGTCAGTGCTGAGTGGGGATACGAGAACTTTAATTAAGACATGAGAGGAGCAAGGACTACTGACTGAGGTAAGTGTTGATCTGGGTCCCAGTCTATATGCTTCAAAGATTGTAATCGGATCTTGAACCCTTTGGAATCTCTGAGTCCTGTCACTTAATTAAGAATCAGCTTGACTTCCAGTTTTCATAAATCTCCAAGATGGAGGGGTCCAATAAACACCTGCAATTCTGAGGACTGAACTGTAATATCCAAGGAGCTCTCTAACCCTAGATAACCAAGAAGGACGATGAGGGCAGGTACAGAGAGAGTCCCAACTAGCTAATGGCCTTGCACTACACTTTATATCCGTTTAGAGCCAAGCTCCCCCAAAAGGAGAGTGTATGGGGAGGTGCACTAGGTGAGAAAGCAAGAACACAGTCATCTTCCAGGCTGTTCCAGACTGGACTCCTGCCGAATGGTACGCAAGCCTTATGTCTGTACCATATCCATATCCAACCTGGACCTTTTCCTTCAAGAAAAGGATGGAGAAAACGGCAGAGAAGTTTAACTCTGGTACCTAAGGGCATATGAAAGAAACAATTCAAGTTACAGACCAGGAATCCTGTTTGCAGAGCAGGCCAGGGAACACCAAACACATTGAAAATTAACTGATTTACCAGTTGAGAGGTGGAAGAAAGGCAGAATCAATGTTTAATCTGGGAGTTTTGTACAGAAGCAGACTCTTCTGCAGCCTCCGTTCTAGACTCAGCTGAGTGGCCTTTCCAAGAGTGTGACTGATACACCAAGATGGGTGTCTGAGGAGTGAGCTTGTGCCCCACAGGGAGCTACTCACATCCTTAGTCCTGGCCCTATGCATAAAGCTACCTAGCTCATTCTGTGCAATTGACATCTTTGTTCTGGTGGCCCACAGAGCTCAGTAATGGAAACTGAGCTGGGGTTGGTCTCTTTCCCTTTTTAAAAATACAAGTACTAACAACCCTTTCCTACCCATTTTTTCCTAAGATTTTCAATAAAATAACCCGGGAGCAGCAGTCTTGTTTTGAAATGGCATTAGATAATAAATAGAGAATGGGCAGTGCCTGTCTCAGGTCACACTGCCAGAGGAAGCTCTAGGGCAGAGTCTTCAGGGGTCCGGTCCTCACTCTGCTGGGAGCTCTGCACTCCACAGTCTTCTTCATGGTCCGTTCGGAAGGGTAGACTTGAGGGAGACCAAGAGGGGTGCAAGTCTTCACTCTCAGGCTCCTTAGGGTTACAGTCATCGGACAACAGTTTGTCAAGAGTGGGTGTTTTCCCCACCTCTGGTTTACAGAGGGCAGCTGAGTCTGAGGGGCTGCGAGCCACCAGTGAGGTAACAGGGAGGGAGAAAACACCCAGATCTTTCTCCTTGGGGAAGGAGGCTGTGCCCTCTTCTGAGCCAGGCTCTCCTTTCACTCCCAAGGCCGGCCTCTGCTCTACCTGGTAGTACACCAGAGGCCCACTGTTCAAGTAGGATGGGCTGCTCACCGGTGAGGCAGCCGGGTGCTCTGAGTTCTCAGTAAAACACAGGACAGAGGAACCTGGGGGCAGCTGAGCTTGGATGAGAATGGGGGCGGCCAGGCCTGGACACAGCTCTTGGGAAACGGCCAGGGGCTCCTCCAGGATGCATACGCCCAGACTCTCCATGCTTGAGTCCAGGCTGGCGCTAGAGCCGCTCGAGTCCTCCTCTGCCTTGAGCCGCTCCAGTTCCTCCGCACTCTGGAGGTGCATCACTGCAGTCTCGTTCTCGGCGATGAACTCCTGGAAGTCCTGTGTCTCAGAGCTCTGGGCTCCTGGCAGGCTGCAGCCAGCAGTAGGCAAGGGCTCATCCTCAGGGCCTGCTGGGCGACTCACCTGCCGTTTGCTCTCCAGCTCCAGCTTCATGATAGTGTGGAGGTAGTGAGTCCGCACTCGGATTGGGTTAAACTCAATTCTCCCAGCCATGTTTCCACAGCCATCCCTGGAGCAGCCGCAAGGAAAGGACATTCGATCCACCTGAGGGAGCACAGGAGGTTGTGGCAAGATAAGACCAATAGCTTTAACAGTGGAGACAGGTGACATCAGCTGGCACACACAGGCAGTTGGGAGTTGAGCAGTGACCAGTTCAAAGCATAACATGCAGCACAAGCTAACAGTACTAGGCAGTGGTTATTAGACCACCTGTGTCTCAGTTCCAGCTCAGCCATTAATTAGTGCTGGCATCTCAAGAGTCATCTATTTTCTCCCCTGGGCTTTGTTTCCTCTTCTAAATAAAAAAGACAAAAATCCCATCAAAGGCTCCTTCCAGTTAGCAAGTTTAGTGTTACCTCTCTGAATGCTGGCATCTATCTCAGAGTAGAAGAGTTTTGTGCCTCAGGGACTTCCAGATCTTACCTGGTTCACAGGGACAATAAAAGGCTGGGCCCAAGCCTTCTGCAATGACAGGCGTAGTAAGTGAGTGGAGATCTTGCTACTTCAATGCAATACACTCTAGGGAAACTAAACAGAGGTGCCTTAGTGCTGAGGTGCTAGAGTGAAGGTTCACACTGTGACCAACTCACCAGTGTTGTTCTGAAGCAGTGACCAAGACAACTTACTTATAGCCAGGGCTATCTAGAAAGGAGATGGGTGGGCATGGTGATGCATGCCTTTAATCCCAGCATTGGGGGGTGGGGGGGCAGAGGCAGGTGAATCTGCTGTGATTTTGAGGCCAGCCTGGTCTACATGGTGAGTTCCAGGACAGCCTGGACTACATAGTTTTAAAGAAAAAAATAGAAAGGAGATGCTTTCTGCCTCTTTCTCTCCCTCAAAACAAAACTCAGGAGAATTATAGAGCAAACAATAAAACCCATCTTATGAGCTGGGCAGTGGTGGCACATGCCTTTAATCCCAACACTTGGGAGGTAGAGGCTGGCAGATCTCTGTGAGTTCAAGACCAGCCTGGTCTACTAGAGCTAGTTCCAGGTAGGCTCCAAAGCTACACAGAAAAACCCTGTCTCAAAAAACTACAAAACAAAACAAAAACAAAACGGAAAAAAACCTATGTCTTATGATACCAGCTTATTAAAATCTCCAGATCCAAGAGATCAAGGTCATTCCTGTTATAACCAAGCAAGTTCAGTTCTAGGCCAGCCTGGAATGAGACCCATCCCTCTCCATGAAAGAAATCTTTACCCAGGCCCAACCAGTTCCTAAGGTATTCTCAGGTTTGTGAATAACTGACTCATCATGGGATGGCAGTCTGGAGAGAAATGTCTGGCCAGACCTGCTATAGCTCTTTGTTACTAAATACAGTCAAGGAAAAGAGTTAAAGGGTCAACCATAGGACTAAACACCCATAGGACTAAACACCCATGCTTGACATCCCCCATGTTTCACTGTTTGGGTAGCACTGAAGTTTTCCAGGAAAATGAGAATTTCAAACAACCTCTTAGAATGCCAAGAAAAAGATACTTTATTTGAAGAAACTAAGAACTTAGGTTCTGCCAGCTCAAGACCAGTCCTGAATTAGAGAAATTTCAAACCTTTGGTTTCCACACAATTAGAAAGGTGCTGTGTGCAGAAGAATCCACAGGCTGCCTCACTTGATTCCTTTTATCTCCAGAGTCATTATTTAAGGACACTTACCAAATGGTAAACAAAACAGTACTTTGTTCTCTCCTTTGCTGCCAGCTGCTTATCACCTCTGAAGTGTACAACAGAAAAGATAACGGGCACCTCCACATCCTGCCCTGCTTGTTTTCTTTGGGAGGGCTATGGAACTGGAGCACAGTCTCAGCCATGGGACTGCCATTCCAGGGTTGGAAGCTTCCTAATCTTCACTGGCACCCAACCACACCCCCAATCTTGGTGTAGATATACCATCTCAGGCCAAAAGTGACTGACCTGGCATTTAATCCCAGCCTGGCTACAGGCACACGCTTCTGGGTCACAGTAGAGTCGACAGTCACAACCACACTCTTCCCGAGATAGGCGGATGGCTCTAAGTTCTTGCTTCTCTTCCGCATCAATCCGGTGGACACCGGATGCCCTCAGCAGGGCCCGTCGTCTCTTGGTGGGCAGGGGTTGGAGGAAGAAATAATCATCCACCTCCACATTTTCCACATCAATATCTTCATCTGAAACGTCGTCCAATGTCAAGCCATCAGCCTCAACTGACTCCACTGTCCCATTCTTGGTCAGCTGCCAAGAGACAGGAAAGGTCGGCTTTGGAGAATCAGCAACCCAGGGACCAGAACAGTCCCCAGTTGTGTAGCCAGGGGCTGGTTGTCCTACACCACAGCAGAGCACCACAAATGTAAAGACTTCACATTTAAATAGCCAAAATAAGTAAGGGTTGCCATACTGGACAGCACAGGGCATGATTAAAAAAACAGCAGAAACACAGAAATTGTCTGGCTCTAGTACTACACTGTCAACACCAGAGACATTGCCTTTCTGTGTCCTAGGACTTCAAAGATCAGCCTCTACCAGGTGTGGCAACATTGCCATCACCCCAGCTACTCAGGAAGCTGAGATGAGGGGCATGAGCAACACTGTAAGATCCTATCTAGAGAAATGTTTGAAACACACCACAAACATTTCCTCCATTCATCACTGTAAATCATTGCCTGTGTACTCAGAAGAACTGCATTTCACTGTTAAGGGAGTGGGCAGTCAGTTATTAACCAGTATCAAAAACCCTTACTTCCAACACAGAGTCTAGAAGAAATGTATTTTCTTCCTTCTAATCCTGGTTTATTTTACTTCAGGAAAAACTCTGTGAAGTAGGGCAGTGTAAATAACTTTGTGTGTGCTGTCTATGAGCAGAAGTCTGGGTTTTCTACACTGAGTTGGGTAGAAAGCCAGGGCAGGACTCTGTGGAAGAACAGGCTGGAGACAATCTCTGGCTGAATGAGCTCTACAAACTCACTAGAGGATCTAAGTAAAGAAAATGAGGCCCCAGCCCCTGGGGCCCTGGAAGCTGCTAGCAGGTTGCATGCCCAGTGGCTGGTGTCTTTGGTTTATTTCATCAGTCAAGAGAGTAGTGCTACGAGAGGAGCAACTCCTGTGAGAGAAGTGACGCAACAGCTCTGAGCAATGAGCCATGCACCTCACTGCTTGTTGTGGAGAAGCCGGAGTGGCCTTCTCCAGCCTATTACCTCTTGTTGTGGAGAAGCCGGAGTGGCCTTCTCCAGCCTATTACCTCTGGACCAGGCAGGCAGCTGCCTGGTTCCTTTCTGCAGACCTTAGGATTGTGCCTGTTTGTGCTGCAGAACTGGATCATCCCTAGCACTTCTGCTGTTCCCAAAGGAAAATAATCAGAGAAGCAAGTAGGAGAATTCAGATCTCCGCAGAAGGGGGATTTCAGAGCAGTGCAATCTTCTAGTCATGAAACTATGCTGGGACAACTCTGTATTCTTGGGGAAAGTCAAGGCCAGGTGTGTTGGCTCATGCTTAATAATCCAGGCACTTAGGTAGTGGTAGAGGCAAGAGGAACAAAGCGCAAAGCTATGCCTTGCTCCACAGCAAGTTCAAGGTCGGCATGGACTCCACGAGATCCACCCCAAAACAAAAACAGACAAAAATAACCACCACCCATTCAAACTACTTATAATAATGAATCCCAGTTGGAAAAAACAAAACTAAAATATTAGAAAATTATATGTAATGAATGTTAACAGAGTTCTAACAGTTGACTAGAATAGCTCCAAATGGCACATGAGGGATGCAGTGTATGTTATTTCAAGACTGTGACTGTGCCCTTATACGTGCTAAAGACAGGAAGCCTTCCTGGGGAGGAAGGCAAGTGTTTTCCAGAGATTCCTGTCATCACCGCTGGTACTCAGTATGTCCTGCCAGGGACAGACAGGTGCTACCTCTTAGGTCATTCCTCGACCTCATGGGGGAAAGTTGTCTATAGGAAAGGAACAGAGAACCTTTACTGCAACTGAGAAGAATGTTTGTCTAGCTGTTGCTATAGCAACAGAAAGGTGACAGAGTCAGTGCAGGACTCAGAAGGGAAGGCTGAATGCCCTTACAAGTAGCAGGTATAAGGCCTTAGGAACAGGCTGAGAGCTTGCACAGAATGAAACTAGTGAGGCCTAGTCAGTCTGTACCCTATGCCACCAGTTCTCCAGCCCAGCCATAGCCTGCTCTGTTTTGTCTACATCCCTGGAAATAATGCAGCTACCCCATGCTTTGGGCCCAGAAATGAATTCTCATTCATATCCATTCACCCTCATTCATATTCTCTGTCTCCTGAACTGGGGCTAGAACCCGAGGCTTTATACACATTAGGTGAGTGTTCTATCACTAAGCTATGCCCTCATCTCTGGGAAAAATTGGAGAACTTATAGAAACAGTTGAGTACATGGGTGTCTGGGGAGGGTCTTCTGGTGCTATCTGCAGAGTGTAGTATTTTTTAAAGACTGGTTTATTTGGCCAGATCTGGTAGTATATGCCTTTAACATCAGTATTTGGAAGATACAGGTAGGCAGATTATCTGTCAGTGACCTGAAGTTAGTTGGTCTACATAGCAAGTTCCAGTCTAGCCATATGAACCACCATGTGGGTGCTAGGGACCAAACCCAGATCTTTTGAATGAATAACAAATGCCTGTAAGTGCTGAGCCATCTCTCCAGTACCCTGGTGGATTAGTCTATGAGTCTAACTATGAAATAAGGAGACTGTGTCTGTCCTCTGGGGTAACAATGTGGAGGTCACAGAGGGTGGTGAACCTTCAGAGAATGGGAAAGATCTGGAACCTGTTCTGTTCTGCTCAGGTGAGCAAGGACAATCACTGACAAATTGAAATCTGTGTTTTCTTGGTGACAGACCTGAGAAGTTTCAGGTGTTCACATCACATTAGAAAGCATCACTGTGACAGGAAGAAAGGGGTAGTGCAGGGAAAGTAGTTTTTGTCTGTGGTTGGCAGTGCCACCAGAGATGACAAGGAGCTGACTGAAAATCGAGACTTTGCATTGGAAAGACAAATAGCACTCCCTAATCACCAGGAGCAATCACTAAATAAAGCAGAATCAATGGGCACAGTGGGGTTCCTCTTGACCTCAGCATGCAGGAAGCACCAGGCCCCGGGCCCCATAGGCACCTTCATTTTCTTGGCATGAAGTTTCTCCTCCTTGAGATGCTCACGAAGAATCTCTCTATGGTTCACCTCTTGTTCTTGTGCAAACTCACAAAGGGTGTAGCTGCGTACAGAGTTATGGCGCTGGGCCATTCCCAAAGAACTTCCACCCTGGCTGGGCACACTGGTGAAACCCTGGCGCCGGGCAAAGTAGTACACAGTCACCTGGTCAAAGCGGACATTCTTCCTCCGCAGCTGCTTCTGCCGCTTCAGGATGGATGTGGCTGTGAACAGAGCACATGGTTCCCGACCCTGAGACGGCTTGCTCAGTCAAGGCTCTCACCTGCTCTTATTCATCGAGGCTCTTAACTCGGTCCTAAATGTGAGACTATTTCCAAGTCCTAAGTCATGTGCAAAACTGGAAAGCACCTTGGACCTCAGCTGGTTCATACCACTGCCTCCAGACTGCCTCCATGAAAATAGATGGCCACAAAGTCTATTTTTAGACAGCAACTGGGGAACACTAGGTGTTCTTTTTAAGAGAAAAGAAAATTGCCATGTGATAGTTTAAACTAATTAAAACTCAATTTTAAAAAAAATCAGCTCTTCGGTTTGTATTTCAGTGGCCACACGTGACTACAAACTACCAGGGGACTATGCCGACAAGGGCCATTTCCCCCACAGGGAAATTCAACTGGACAGTATTCCACAGTGGGGGATTCTCCAACAGGCCTGATGATAAATATTTTAGGCTCTTTAGGGCATGAGGTCTCTGTTGCAACTACTCCAGCATGCTGCTAGTGCATAGACAACACAATGATGGGTGTGACAGTTGCAACAAAGCCATAGAAACAAGCCATAGGCCCAGTTTAGTCCAGACGACCTCTGACCCTCACTATTAGAGGTTCTCTACAGGACAACTTGAGAGCGGGGAGACTCCACTGTGCCCAGCTAGGTGCATTAGAAAAGCTGCCAGGTGTGCCTTGAGTTGACCCAATAGTACCAGTACCTGAGTTTTAGGGCTCAAACCTTTGGAGATCTAGGGGATGAAGACAAAAGGAATGAAGAGATCTGGAGTTACCCAGTGTCCAAAGCAAACATCTACTCCTGCTCTAGTTACAATTTCCTGAACCCCTGGGCAAGTCCTCTGAGGTCAAAGTAGAATTCTGAGCTCCTCTTTATCACATCCCATCATACTGGGCACCACAAACCACAAGAGTAGTATAAGTCAGACTCCGGCCTATGCTATTGGAGCAGTGCGGTTTTCCAAAAATCAAGGACACACTATGTAAAGGGCAAATCCCTAGAATGGACAGAAGCGGTCTCAGGCTGCAGGGGTTCTCTGGGGAACATGGGTGCAGGCAGGAAGGGAGCAGCTCACTCACGTGTGAAGCTGGCAGTTGTAGGAGGGTTGAGGCTGTCACAGCTGTCAGCACTGTCACTGCTGGAGACCTCATCATCTGAGTTGGAAACTGATGAGCCCACATCCACATCATCGAATTTCCTCTTGAGCCCTGAGCCCGAGAATGCATCCATTGGCTTCAAGGTTTCCTTGGGGAGCCAACCACAATGGCCCCGGAGCTGCTCACCACCAGTTAGCCAGGAGCATTAGGATTCTGCCCAGGGGAGAAAACAGTCAGCATTGCTGTCCTGAGACAGCAGGTCCCTCTAAGTCTGTAAACACATCACTATAACCGAACGAAAGCTAAGCACTTGGCCTGGCATCAGTCTGGCTTCTCAGGACCAGGTCATTTCTTTGCTGACTCTGCCCAGCATTCTTACTTGCCTCCCTTCAGCTCCTCCAGCCTTCGTTACTCTTAGACTGAATCTGCAGCAGCACTTCCCAGTGGAGGGATGGCCTCACTTCCAACCCTGCTGGCCACATGAGTCACTGGCCCAGGCTACCATTCACTTTTCTTCAGATCATGCAGGAGAGCACTCCAAGGGTTCACTGGGAGAGAATAGACCAAAGATAGCAGAGCCTTTGCCTAACCAAAGCCAGACCCAAGTTCTATCCCCATGATAACATAGGCTGGCATTTCCCCAAGTGTATATCTTAAATACACTAGTTCCATGGATATTAATAGCTTTTTGAATGAAAATAGGACTGCTGTTAAAATACTTTAGAAAACCACTTATGGCAGAGCCTCTTAGGGGTTTTTAATATACTTATGAGCATGCATGGTGAAGGCTGGAAGGAAACAATGCAGTGTTTCGAAACCTGATTATGGAACCCAGTTTCCAAAGTGTGTTAAGGGGCAGATAATCCCTGGAACACACTTGGGGGAAATTCTGCTCCAGGCTCTCAATTTTGAAGGACATTGGCAGTCAGGAAAACCCTTGACCCAGATCTTCGCAAGTGTGAAGAGTCTCATCAGGCTCCCAGAAAGGGCAAATTTAGTACTAAAGAAACGAGCCAAGATTAGAATCTGTACCAGCTTCAAAACCCAGAAAGCAGGGCTGTGGGTGTAGCCCTGTGGCAGAGTGCTTGCCTAATGCACAAGAGGCCCTGGGTTTCATCCCAGCACCAAAAACGAAACAAAAACCAGACTCTTTTTCAACCTAATATTGGTCTCTCATCATTCCCTGTGCAAAGAAGAAAACAGAGTTTACAATCTCCAGCCTCTGAAAAGAAACCATCAAGGGAAAACAGAAGTGACAATCAATCTTGGTTACACCAACACAGCAGGCATAAGTCTTTCTCCTTCTCCGTCTTTGGACTTAAGTTCCAAAAGGACATGAATCTGTATAGAAGAAATGCTATCAGAGCCAAACCCACATGCGACCGGGTAAGACACTTCCCACACTATGATCTCACTGGTTGCTAATTGTGCAGCAGGATTAACAGCACTGCCCAGGAGACTCCTGCATTACTGCAGAGCAGCTACCCAGAATTCACTGTGGAGACAAGCTGCTACAGTCCTGATTTTCTGGACCACGTCTTTTAGTAGCAATTTAGATCAGCTCTACAAAGTTAACCAGAGCTGGTCTGTGCTTCAAGGATTACCTAAAATACATACTCAGATCACATGCAAGTCCTGCATTCAAGTCACAAAACGAACTGAACCACCTTAGCTTTCATAGGTTTCAAACACATTCCTCAAGTAAGTTTGGCTAAGAAAAAAAATTTAAATCAAGGAGCTGGGCATGGTGGCAAGCACCTTTAATCCCAGCATTCGGAAGGAAGAGGCAGGTGGATCTCTGCAAATTCAAGGCCAGCCTGATCTACAGTGCAAGTTACAGGATAGCCAGGGCTATACAAAGAAACCCTATCTCTAAAAACAAACAAAAAAGAATTATAATATTAATATAATAATATAATATTAATCTCAGCACTCAGAGGCATAGGCAATGGATCTCTGAGTTCTAGGCCAGCCTAATCTAAATAAGTGAGTTCTAACACAGCCAGAGCTACATAGAAACTATATACAGATATAGATAGATATGATTAAAAAAAAAGGGCAGTTGAGTGCTAGCTGTTCCTCCAAAGTACCTGGGTTCAGTTCCAGCATCCAACCCTCTAACTCCAGTTTTAGGGAGTCTGAAACCCTCTTCAGGCACCCGGCACACAGTGGTATGCAGACACATACATGCAGATAAAGATTCCTATTCACGTAAAATAAAACCTAAAAATTATTTAAAAGAATCAAATCGATTCAAAGTGTCTGACCACAGGTCACCTTCTTAGAAACAACAAGAGGGAAGAGTGAGGGGACTTTCTATGGGTTGAGTTTAGCTGGGCTTAAAGATGATACCTTTCAGCTAACAAATGTCTCATTCCGTTCTATTTTGGGTGAAGGAGCATGGCAGGGGTGAGGTGGGGGACGACACCTTTGTCATAAATGTTCACGTGGACACTATAGAGGAAGTTCACGCAACCACACACACCACCAGTGCTTTCCCAACTCCATGAGAAACCATCAGTGAGGAGAGACCCTGCTATCTTGGAAAAGGCTTAGGTGCCCTTCAATCTGAGCTCCAGGTAACACTTGTAGAGAAATGGCTGCTCCTCAGCCTGGAGGCACTCAGGGGTTTATGATTGGAAGCAAATGTGCACTCTGCTCTTTCCTCGGGATCCCCTGCTTCCGGTAGTGTGGATTTCCTTTGACTATTACTTTTTAAGTCTCACATGAACTGGGATCTGGGCCAAAACCATCTTTATTACTAAAATTCTCCTGTATCTTAACCCAGTTTTCCTCAAGAGAATCCTTTCATCAGGGCTACTCTGTGCCCGTGAGCATACCAATGCTGGCTGTTGATCTAAGCCTCTTGGTTCACAGCTTCTCACTTCTGGGGGTGTGGTTTGGGCAATGAAGAGAGGAAAGAAAGGGGGGAGGGGAAAGCTGTAAAATGTAAGGAAAAGCAATTTCCTTAAGCTCCAAAAACCAGGTCTACATGTGTAAATAATGTATATACTGATCTATATGACCAATTCCACTAAAGGGCTGGGGATGCAGTTTGGTAATACAGCGGTGGCTCACCATGCTTGAAGCCTTCCCTGGTTAAATTCCCAGCACTACAAAATAAACAAAAACCATTCATGGATGACATGCTAGAAGATTCTTGAGATGCCTGTTATAGTTCTCTTACTTGGGATGTTAGCAATATTTCCTGCAAAACTACCTGTTACTTAAGATGACTTAGTTTAGCTATGTAGCCCAGATTGGTCCCACAAGGATCCAGTTTGTTTTTGGTGAAGCTCACAGTGGTCTTCTTGCTTCAACCTCCCAAGTGCTGGAATCACATGTGTGTGCACCAAGTGCAGCCCTCCAGCACTGAAAACTCACATTTCTATCATCTCTTGGAGAACAATGCAAGTTTATATTCTCCACGTCCAGCACTCTGGACCATGAACCTCCAACCTAGTTAGTCCCACACTGCCTTGAAGAACTCATGTAGTAACCACTAGAATAGGTTCTACTAAGAATCAGTTATTCCCACTGGTAAAAAATCAACACCTGAGTTCAGAAAATATTCTTTAATCCTCACCTGATCACACATACATGTAATCCCAGCATTTACATGCAAGAGGAGCAAGGAGTTCAAGGTCATCCTTGGCTACAAAGCAAGTTTATAGCTAGCCAAGGCTACATGAAACCCTGCCTCAACCCCTACCCCTCTTTATGAGTTATATCCAAGTCCAAGCACTCAAACCTATACAGAAATAACCAAGGTGTGACTAAAAATGCGGGTCAGAACACTTAACTGTTTAAATAAACATCTCAAACAACAAATACTGGTATCTCTCTATAAAAGCTTTTTACATGTTGGTGAAATGAAGAGTCAGCTGTCACATTTTGACTACATGCCTTATGGTGTTTTGCTAAGTGTTTCTGGCTGAACATTTCCTTAAGGTACACAATATAGCTCATAGCTACAGTGCATAGAAGACATTAGATGCACACCAAATAAAACCAGCATGTATATTTCAGTACTAGGCCTAAGCTTTCTTCAGGCTGGTAAGGACTTCAAATCCCAAATTACGTAAGAACAGCAAAAAATGGGTGTGGCAACGCAGGCCTTTAATCTCAGCACTCAGGAGGCAGAGGCAGGTGGATCTCTGTGAGTTCCAGGTCAACCTGCTCTACACAGTGAGTCCCAAGACTCACTATGCAGAGGGACACTACCTCAAAATAAATTATAAACAAATAAATAAATAAAAGTGGGGCAGTTCGAGGAAACTGTGGACACAGAGTATATTTGTAAAGTTTGGGTATGTGAGCCTTTTTTTCTGAAGTGAGTCCGAAATCCTAAGACAAGGTTCATCTCACAGGAAGGCCTTCCCACTCAACTAGAACCCAATGTTCTGCTAAAGGTCAAGGATCCCTTACACTATCAGCGACTACTGGGGTAGAGGTAGGGGTAGAAGGCTTAGACGCCCTACCCTGCTTTCCTTTTGCAAGATACTGTGGGTGATTCTCAAATACTACAATTTTATGGCTCCATCTGTCCTTGTGATCACCAAGATCATGAGATCGGAAAAGCCCTTGAGCTCCTCACTGAAAGCCTCCTGTTTAAGCTAGGTGTTTAAAGAGGGCCCCTTCGCTCCCCCACCCCCGGGTTTCCAGCTGTTTACTAACACTAGATTAGAATGTGGCTTTGCACTTGTAAGCCACATCCTAGGGAAGACACAAGATCTTTGTGGGAGACTTGGAACATGATGCTGCATTAACTCTCCTCTAAAGGATAGCGTCATTTATAATTGCCACACACCACCACCCTGGTTTTAGAGATTTGTAAGATTTAAAGCCACTAAAGAAAAGGAGAATGTGAGTTGGTTGCGGGTTTTACCATGAACTGAAAACTGGAGGACAAGGGGAACGGTGTTGTCTCTTGGGGAGAACTTTTAACCTTTCATACTGAAGAACAGTTTGTATGTCACATCGCCACTCTTAACCCGTCTAAAAGGATGAGCCAAGACCATAGCTAGCACTCAAATGGGGATGGATGGCAGGAGGCTGCATGTTAGGGCTTGAAAAAAAGATCAAGGTAGCAGCCAGGACAAGTGATGCTCTCATTTTTGCACACAACGCCAG